CTACGCGACGGCCCAGAAACGCGAGACGTTCGGCTGGGACAGACACAGCATATGCTTCAGTCCCTGTTTCTCAGGAACTGCTGCCCTTTACTGCACGACAGCCACTTTGGAAACCACCACTCCGTATGTTCCGTCTAGTGTTGGGTTGTTCCAAGGCGGAGGGTAAATCCAATCTCTGTGGCTCCACGGTGGCTGGGAGACTTCCTCTCCACCTCTGATCCTTACTCACGTTAGGAATTCTTACTGAGCACCTATGACACGAGAGTTGCTGCTGGCCTCCGTGACAGTGATGAAGCATGAGGCAGAGTGAATCTCTCTCTCAAGGTCTTTACGTGCTAGGAAATCAAAACAGGGAGACCGCCCGTCAGACCTCTCCTGGAATTCTGTCTAGCCTGCTTTCCTTGCCGACATGTTTCCTCACGCAGTTCACTTAGTCCGAGAGCCTAACCACCACGACCACGATGGCCCTCCCGGACGCTGTGGCTTTTCACTTCTTCGTCTAAACCTCTCTTCTCACTGCTCGCTGTCAGCCACATGGACCTGGAGCTGGAGGGTTAACGAATTTTTCAGTGTCTTCAGCTGCTAAACTGCCCAAGTCCTGCAATTCTACTAAGTCATTTCCAAATCCATCTTCTTCTCTCCATTCTGTGTCACCTGATAAACCTGGAGTACCTACTACATTCTAGGTATCTCTGTACATTTAGTCTTGGTTGCTTACAATTTATCCTGTATAATGCAGCTTGAGTGAGCATTCCAGAGAAAAGCCTTATTCCATCAGTCCTCTGCTTAAAATCTTGATGACTACTAATTTTAGAATAAAATCCAAAGTCCTTATTATGGTTTACAAAGTAATTAAGGACACAGATCCTGCCTGGCCCTCCAAGTTCAGCTCTGGGCTTCTCTTCTAGTCTCATCCCAGTACATTTAAACACTTATAACTCCCCAAGGTGTCATGTCTTTGCCTCAAAAATTTTGTGTATATAGTTCTCTCTGCTTAGAATATTCCTATTTCCTTTCTTTCTTGGATTTCTTTAACTTCTTTAAGATTCAGCTCAGATGTCTCCTCCAGGAAATCTTTCCAAATTTTCTAGTCTGTTTCAGATACATACTTTTATTGGTACTCCTTTGGCTAAGTATATTCAAAAATCCAACTTGAGCTAACTTTTTTTTTTTTTAAAAAAAAGATGATTATTATAAAGGGACTGGGGTAGTTCAAGGATCCAAGCAAAAACTGCAGGTGAGCCTTAAGAATTGTAATAAGGGACTCGAATGCCGCCGGGACCTTCTCCCCATTGCTTCCTCTTCCGGTCTGGGTGCCTTGAATCCTCTTCATGCATCTCACCCGTTCTCCTCTGTGTGCGTCTGCTTCATTTTTTGTTTTTCTCTCTGTAGTTGAATCCTTTTTCATTATTCCAGTCCATATCATGGAAAACTAGTCACTGTCAGCTCCTAACATTTTTTTTTTTTTGAGAGATTTTCACTGTAGGGTGCGTGCGCTCGCCAGACAGACAGAGAGAGACATAGAGACAGAAAGCGAGAAATCACCCCCCGGGAGGATGGTCACGCCGCAATCCCTTCTCCTCCATTCTCCTCTCGGGATCTTGGGCACGCACGCACACGCGCCCGGCATGAGTTTTAAGCCACCGGGTCCGGGACACGAACCGCGGTCGACTACGTGGGAGTCCAGCAACATAGCCATTACGCTAACTGCTGGTTCCCTCAGCTCCTAACATTTTTATCTTCCATAATCCAGAGGCCTGAAGAGACACTTCAATATCCTCCTCAAGTCTGGTTCTGAAATTTTCTGGGAAGGACACTGACAGGTCCTGTTAGGCCAGTTGCTAGGCTAAGTCAGTCAGCTGGAGCCAGGAGGCAGGGTCACGCTGTCACGTGGCTGCTCTCGCTGCGTGATGCAGACTGAGCACAGCGCTGTCGACGTGGCAGTTACCCTAGATGGGGCTCAGAGCAGATAACCCTACAAGCGGCCATACTGCTTGCATAGAGCCCTGTGAGGAGTTGTATCAGAGCGTTTCCTGTCTCTCTTATGGGGCAAGAATTGTGATTTTGATCTACATGGATAATGACCAAATGGAGTAACATATAATTAATTAATACACTAGTGAATAATTAACTCCTCAAAAGGCTGGAACAAATAACAAAAGCTTCTATGACATAGTGGAAGAGAACATGAATGAGAAGGAGGAAACTGCTGGTAGTCCAGGCTCTGACACTAACAGCAGGGAGGCTCCTCATTTCTCTGTACTTCAGTTTCCTCCTTTGTCAGCAGAAATTTTTATAGTAGCCTTACCTACTTTAAGAGATTGTTAACTTCAAATGTGATAATATCTGTTAAAGCTCCTTCAAAAAATAAAAATCTTTGTACAAATACAAAGTAGTTATTACAGTAATCATGAACATACAAATATGGAATTTAAAAAATAGCATACCCTCCTGGCTAGTGGGAGTAAGAACCACTGAAAGTAGAAAATGCTAAGAAAACAATGACAATGAATGCTGGCATAACCCCAGTAAAGTGAAGATTTTAAATACGAGAGCCTTCATAGACGTAAGTGTTGAAATACAAAAAATTTAAAAATCATATGCTTTTGCCAAGGGAAAGCTGGTTTTTATAATTTATATATTATAATGTGTGGCTAAAGCACAACATCAGGGAAAACATATATACTAAGAGAGAACCCACTTCTGACTGTAGGACTCAGTTTCTTCTTAGTAAAACAACACTGGGTAAAGTGTTCCTGCCTTATGGATCTATTTCTTTATATACATGATTAAAAACCTTACAATTAATGCATTTTAAAGTGGATATAAGTAGCCCATATCAACAGATTATTCAACACATGATAGTTGCTAGAAATCAAATGAGATAGTACGTGTAAACTCACATTTGAAATGCCACCATACTGTGATGACAGAGGCTCCTGGATACACGGTTTTATCAGTAAAAGCCCAGACATTTCCTACCAGATAGGAAACAGAACTAGGAGAGTCTTAAAGAGAGCTAGTAAGGACGCTCTTGATTGGATACGAATGATTTCAAAATTATAACGCTCAATCGCACAACATTATTGTTTTTGTTCTCTTCTTTTTTTCTCTTTTTTTGGTTTATCTCTACAGTGCATAAAGTAAAGGAAGACAAAACGGATTCTAAATCTAACTCTTTCTCCAAGAGTGCTCACAGGATTTAAAACAAAATACTGAATCACATTTTTAGTGTTGTCTTTTTGATAAGTGGAGAAGGTCCAGGACTTTTTTTTTTTTCTTGAAGAAAATAGGATAGAGTGATATTTTCCATAATGGCTTTGGACACAAAACCAGCTGGAATTCAGAGCTGGGGATGAGTCTTGGACATAAAACAAGTTTTAGGATGAGTTATAAAACCTGAGTAACAATGACTAAGAAATTCCTACATCACTCTTTACCTTTTTTTTTTTTTAAACCTAAGAAGTATAATCAGTTTGAAATAAATGATAATCCTCCCCCAGTTGGCATACCGATAGGAAGTGTGCGTGTGTGGACCTCGAGTTAGCAGTTCACATCTGAAGGCTCACACCCTGACTGAAGTCGCAAACTTATGTCACGCAAACTCACATGAAGTGACAAAAAAGACTCAAGGATTAAATTAGATACTTGGCTAATGCTAAAAATCAGTGATGTTATGCTTAAGACCCGTTTATACCTTAGCCCAATAAGCTGGTTTTTACACATAACAAAAATGTTTATTTTAACTCACCTGTAAGATTCTTTGCAAGATTGATGGGAGGGCGATGAATGCTGCCATGCTGTTTAGAACTTGCATGGTCAAAGATTTCAGAGCTGTTGTGACAAAATATTACAGATTTCAGAGCTGTTATAACAAAATGTTAACATTACAGTTAATTTAAAATAAGCGTTCTGGTTTATTTTTCCTGTAAAGTAGGGAGAAACAGTGGATTTATAGAGATTTTTACAAACTTAGTTCATCAGGGCCTGCCCATGGGTTAGAGGTTAAGGAAGTCAGACCTCCCAGCCCAACTGTGCAGTTTGAATCTCAGAACTGGCAACTTGAAAAACACACTGGCGTGCCCCAACTCCCAACAGGCTGGCAAGATGAAGAAGGGACTGTGGTGTGACCACATCCCACTGGGGAGAGCTTTCTCCATCTTCTTCCTTCTATTTTTATTTTTTAAAGAGTTATTTTAAGTTAATTACTTAATTTTAATTTGACCAGTAAGAGAGAGCAAGAGAGATAGAAAGTGAGAAAGCAAGCCACCAGGTCCAGGACTTGAACCGTGGGTTGGCCATGCGGGGGTCCAGTGCCCTTAACCACCATGCCACCTGCCAGCCCCTTTCTTTTCTTTTTACTGAGCACATGCACTCTCTGGCAATTTAAAAAAGAAAAAAAGGAAGGAAGACAAAGGTAGCTAACCAAGGCAAGTTTGATATTTACAATTAACGGCTGGTGAGCTGCAAAGACTACTGATATGAAAGATAAATTATACACATAGTACAACAGGAAAACTTAAACCTGAAACATCACTAATTATATTAGATCTACCACAAATACAGTTTCATTAAAAAAAATGACATTGAGCAAAAATATCATAACCACGTTTTTTGCAGACAGGAATTGGGGTGATGACACAGCTGGCCTCCGGCACCTCGGTTCCGAGGAGCTTACCTTCTGAGGGGAGGTGAGGTGCGGTTGAAACGGACAGCTTCTGCGGGGCCATCATCGCCTCCAGTAACGGAAACCAGAGCGCCTATGTCACAGGGAACCAAAGACCAAAGAGTTCTGTTACTAGGTTTTTTTTTTTTTTAATTTTGCAAGAGGGCACATGTACTCAATGAAAAGAGACAAAGAGAGAGCAAGTGAGCGAGAGAGAGTGAGAGAGAAGCGATGGAAGAGAGAAAGCACCCCCTCTGGGAGATGGTCGTGCTGCTATCCCTTCTCCTCCATCGTCCTCTCAGGGTTTAGGGCCCCATGCACATGTGCCCATTATCATCTGTAAAGCTGCTGGGTCCAGCACTCGCATCGTGCAGCTGGCCACGGGGGATCTAGGTGCCTTAACCACCATGGCATTGGCTAGCCGACCGTTACTTTGAAGAATAACGAACATCGGCACCATGTTTTACAGACTGAAATGTACTTCACACATACACCTGTGGGTAAATATTAGGGAAAGGAAAGAGGGAATATTTGACTGAACAGAGAAAAGAAAGAGAAAAGCTAACAGAAAGCGAAGATCACGGTTAGAACAGTTATCTGTAGCATGCAGCCCTGGAAACACAGGGAAGCTGAAGTTAAATAAAGTGAGGCCTTAGAACAGCAGTCTTCTGTGTCTCAGGGGAGGGCAAGTTCAAAGAAATCGGGGAAGAGCTTCCTGCTAAGTTCTTCCCTACCCTGGTATAAATGTACCACTGACAAAGCCTAAACCCCACGTGCTAACGAAAAGAATAAACAGCCCTCATAGATACCCACCTTCCTGCCCCGCAATTCTTTTCTGGCTATGTCAAGCAAGATAAATGAATCAAAGGTTACCCATTGTATTTTCTTATACCAAGCATTATTTTATATTTCCTAAGTCATCAAAAGCTGGGAAATAGAAATTAACATGATCTCAATTAACATTACCAAGCACATCAAGAAATAAAGAGATATATCATTTATTTATCCCTATTATATCTGGCACTGCATTAAATGCTTGATGTATATCTTTCATTTCAATCTCATAATAACCTTATACAAAAGGTATTATCTTCACTTGAGAAAAGAAATTGAGGTTTAGAGAAGTTTAGTAACTTGTCAAAGATCACACTGCCAGTAAATTAGTTGTCTGCCTTCAAATTCTGTGGTCTCCCTACACATTAAGAAAAATGTTACTAAAAAATAATAAAGCTAATACAGCTAATATTTCAAATAGATTTTCCTGTTGGATAGCTATGTATAAATGCCCTAAGTCAGTTATTTTGGGAGGAACCAAGGTAACTCACGCAAACACTCAGGAGGACGGGAAGAGGTCCGTACTGACGGAGCAGGACCAAGTGGTTATTTACAGAAGAGGGCGTATCGCCCCTCTGGAGACATGGGGCCGTTTACGGCAAAGGTGATGAGCTAAGGGGCCCGAGACCTACCTACTGCGTGACCTCGCACTGAAGAGGTCTACTAGGGAGCCTTTATCCCCTCCCACTGGAGGAGAAGGCCAGCATTTCATGCTGCCAACTTTTTATTTATCTAAGTTGATTTTTGTTTTTTTGTTTGTTTTTTAAGAGATTTTTTTTTTTGCTATAGAGCACCTGCACTTGCCAGAGAGACAGAAAGTGAGAAGTCACTCTCCAAGGGGCCAGGCCAGCCACGCTCCCTCTCCCTTTGGGATTTTTGGGCATGCAAGCCTATGTGCCGGCGTGAGTGTTAAACTGCCGTGTCTAGGACTCAAACCACGGTAGACTACGTGGGAATCCAGCAATGTAGCCACCACGCCGTGTGCTGGTCCCATATTTATCTAAGTTCTTAAGGCACTAGTTTTAACTGTGTTACACATTGGCAATTCATTACTTCACCGAAATATTTGTTCATTTTATCCAGTACTTAATGAACTTTTAACCCTGTATTTTGTTTTTATATAGCCTCACTGAACTTACCATTCGGTTGGCTATTTCGACTTGCTTTTACAACCACGTTGTTTAGCTTTCTGTATTTCATGGTCTTCTAATTGTATGTAGCATCCCTAATTTTTACCTTTTGGGTTTGGCATTTATTATATTTCGAACTTTAATTTTTTAGTTTTCTTATTTAATCCAGATGATTGGAAATAATGTATTTTTTTAAGGTTGGTTTATTCTTGATTTATACATGGCAGACCGGGGAAGCAAGGTGGCATAGGTAACGGATATGAAGTGGTTAAACCCTAAGGGGAAGTCCTTCTTCCATTAAGTCTCACTAACCCTAAATATGTGCGGAATACATTTTACATATTTTAAAGTTCTCTTACTTTTTAATTCTGACCCTTAAAGTTCAATTTGGGCCCAGCCTAGGTGGCACAGTCAGTGGTACTGGACTGCAGTGCTGGAAGCCACATGCCAGCTGTGGGTTTAGAACCGTGGCCTGTGACCTAAACATGCTGGGCACGTGCACACCCAGGACCCTGTGAGCTGGGGAGCTGAGGGGACAGTGACACAGTGACACGCCCAGGGTCTCTCTCTATCTCCCTCTATTGCGAATTTTAGAAAAGCAAAATATGAGAAATTCACACCATGATTCACTTTACAAAAGTAAAGGGCGACACAACCTGTCCTGAATGACTTCATGTTCCATAACAAACAGCTTTCTTTTCAGGAAATGACATGCATAACAGAGCTCTATCATATCACTGGACATAGTGGTAGGAGAAGAGACACATACAGGAGGTAGAAGAGGTGGTTAGAGATGGTATTGAAAAAAACCACACCAACTCGGCTTTTGGGGGTCTAACTTCAAGGAAATACTGCCTAATATAACATCTTGTGATGGAACATTTTTTTTTTTTTTAATGATAGAGTATGTGTATGCTCCTGAGATAGAAGAGAAACACTCTCCACGGGGCTTGGTCTCTCCATGATCCCTTTCCTTTAATCCTCCAGCTCGCCAGGGCCCTGGACCCATGTGCATACACCTGGGGTGTGCTCAGACTGACCAGGAACGCACACCACACTCCACTTGTGGCTCCAGCTCTGCAGTCCAGTCGCCACAGCCTGCACTGTGGGAAGCTGCACACCAGCGAGCCTGTCGAGGTTTCTCAGAGAGCAAACAGTTACCATGATTGGTTCCCTTCCAAAAACCTGACCTTCGAAACCTTGCTCTGATTGATCACTAGAATCCCTCAAATTTGCATATCCTGCACCTCATGATTGGTCCAAAAGCAACCAATCATAACCCACCGTTAACAACCAATCAGGGCCCACC